CCTCACCGACACCCCCCTCAGCCCCCAGGGCTCCCCTCACCGACACCCCCCGGCCCAGGCCCCGCCGAAGCCTCTCGAGGGCCTGCACCGAAGCCACCAAACGCACCCACTGACGGAATCCCCCGCCCAAGCGCCCGTTGCAACCGCCGCCCCGACGAGGGCATTAACACCACAGCACCGGAGGAGCCCCCACACCCGCCGGCGCCGCTCACCCCGCCGCCGCTGACAGCCCCGATCCCGTCGAACTGCCTGCCCGGCCCGCTGGCATCGTCCAGCACGTAGGTGGCCGTCAAGAGCGCAGCGGCGCTGACCCCGAGGGGGGCCGGGCCCCAGCTGCAGCCAAGCAGGAGCCAGCCCCACAGCAAAGCCGCGCACCCCATCCCACCCGCTCCTCTCCGCTCCGCTCCGCGCCGCCGACAGCGTCCCAGGAGCGCCGCCCCGTCCCTACAGCAACGCGCCACCAGCCGGCTCCGCGTGTCACGTGACCGCACAACCTGGCAGTCACCTGGGGGGCGGGGCCTGGGCACCCTTCGTCGCCATTTTGCTAAGCGGGAAGGTGGAGGGAGGGGAAGGCTTTCAGCTCTTACGGGCAGTGCCCCCCCGCCTCCTCCCGGGTTGAAGTTAGTGGTTGCCATTTTGAGAAAGGGCAAGGCAAGCTCCGTGGTGGGAAGCTTATCGGCGTGCTCGAATTGGGCCCTGAATGGCGAGTGAAGCTATTGTGGGAGCCATTTGGGATGTGGGAAGGCTGACTAGTCGGCTGTGAGGGGAGGAGGGTTGAGGGCGTCACGGCTGGACAGGGATGCTCTGGGAACACACAGGGAAATTGCGTTCAGTGCGGCAGGAGCAGCCAGGTTGTGAGAGCTACGCCAAACTGACGGGTTTTTTCGGGGCCTCTGGCAAGGCACAGCAATTTTCCTGGGAGAGGGATGGTGTTTCCCAGTGAATCTCTCATTTCCAGGCCGGCGCCAGCACCCGGCAGCTAGTTTCCTGGTTTTACCCTGCTCTCAGGCTGCCACCAAATTTATCGTAAAGTAGGCAAAAACCGGCACTTTAGAGGAGAAAACTCCAGCGCCTTCTGAGAAAGACCTTTGATCGCTTGTACGAGAACGGGCAGGGAGTGGCCCTGGGGCACAGAGGCCCTGCCCTGGAGAGGGGTGCTGGCTGCCTCACGGGCTTCCCCGGGAATCCCGGTTGGCCCCAGTTAGATCCGCAGCTGCATCAGCAGGACCCCAGAGAGAGATCATGAAAGCGGGTTTTTGCTTGCACCAGTAGCAGGGCTGAAAAAGCCTTTCTGTTTTACAGCTTTCGTGGGGCACACTGCAGGGCAGCTGCATCAAAATGGGACTAGCTGAGATGGTGCTGTGCCACATGTTTAAATTTTCCATGAGGATAGCCAGAGCGTTCCCTCAGACTCCAGCTCATGAAAGCATTCCGCTCATAGGAAAAGTAATCAGGAGATTAGCAATCAGTTTGATTATGCTGTAAAAATCTTCAAAGGGGAACTGTTTGTCTGCTGATCTCAGTGTTCTACAGAGGCAGTGCTCCATGTGCTTAAAGGAGGAATGAGGCATTCCAGTGTTGGCTGACATCATGCCCGCAGTGTGTTAGAGCTGTGGAAAAGCCCAGGTTTTGCACATTTCTGTCCATAAAGAATGCTGTTATTCTAGCCACTGCTTCTCTTGTCCATGTCATTGAGGGATCTAATGTCTCAGGGATGACATTACCTGACTGACGTTTCCTGTTTATTTCTTTTTTAATAACAATGCCAAACACTCACAAAACATTTTGCACTTTACAGCAATATCAAACATTAACTAATGAACCTGCTCACACCCAAATGAGCTATACGATGTCATTATTACATGCAGAAGGACAGAGTGACTTCCTCAAGGCTACAGTGAGTCAGTGGCAGAGGTAGAATTATGCTCATGGTCCTAATTCACATTAATTCCAGCAGACTGTACAGCTTTGCACACCTGGAAGGTTTGCAAAACCATCATGAATTATTAATCGGTTAATTCTGATAATTTCTTAAATTAATGCATCGATTTATTCCAGGTAGAAAGCTTCAGCTGTGGAATTCAGTCTCTTACTCACTTGGAGCCTAAAAGTGTCAGCTTTCAAAACTTGTATTTCCATCCTATGATGTGCTGAGTGCCTCCCCTTTTCAGCTGGTATAGAAAAACATTCTTAGAATCTGTTTTGGTGGAAAAAAGAGGATATATTGATGGGACTCGGAGGACTTCTATTCTGCATTAGGAATCTTGACCTTGCTTTTTACCTGTTTTTTTCTTTACGCCTTTGTCCATGACCTAAGGACATGTGATCTGGACCCTTTGTAAGCCCAAATATAATCAATAAAATTATTGAGGACTTATTCATTGCTTCTTTTGTAGATAAGATAATTTTCCAGTTAATTCTTTTCTATTTCAATTGTTCCTTCTTGATAGTACTTTCATCTTGGCTGACCCAAAGAACACCTTTTGTTTCAAGATGACTGATATGAGATACTGTGTATGTCCAGATCTCAAAAAAAATCCTGAAAAACTGTGCTGGTTGCGTCAGAAATTAAATTGTTCCATATGGACACAGTCAAGAGTTGCTTTTTGCATATAGCTTTACTTCCAGAATGTATAAAATGCATCATCTCCCCTCTTGCTTCCTTTGATCTTTCAGTCGCACTATCAATTGTTACAGTGAAGAACTGTAGAAATATATCAGCTATGTTTCTTTATTTCTAATAATGATAAGAACTGCTTTTTCTTCAGTGAAGTATAGGAACCCTCAACAGAACAGCAGAACCAGCTCACCAGACGTTGTTCTTAGTAGGTACCATGTTAGGAAAAGGCAGGTGAAAAGTGATAAAACAGGTCTTTGTCTAATGACTTTTCTCTCAGTGAAAATAAAGGTTTGACTGAAATTTATTTTAGAAATTAATCTAACCAAGTGGCTGGAAAGCCTCCCTTTTACCAAACTGGAGGGGACTGTGATACCAGTTCAGGAATGACCACAAGTACAGAATGATTTGATAATTTAGGCTTCATATAACAAGTGCACCAGTAGAAAAACTGTGGGTGAAAAAGTCATGTTCTGGCTGGAAAAGAAGAAGGAACCAAATCTCAGAGGTTAAATACTATAGAGCTGCCTGGTATTGTTCTCAAGGAAGTCAGTATGTCTTATTTTAGAGCTTTTAAATTTACTGTTTCATTTCTCCTTAGCATCTGAATCATCAAACAGGCCAGTTTTTGTGTTACCCAATAGATGTACATTTAAAGTGAAATTGTACCCCGGTTCTTAGAAGTAGAATTTAATCATTCCAAACAGAATTAAAAAAAAAAAAAAACCAGAGCGCACAATAAATTATTCTGATCACAGAGGGAAAAGAGAAACTGTGCTCATGTAACAATTTTCCACCTATCTAATTGAACAGAATTATCTGTTAAAAGAATCACTCCTGTGAAAGCCACAGCCAACCTCAGATTCAGTTAATATAACAATATATAAAGATGCAACCTGTTGCAGTGCATAAAATTCTGTTGTCTTTGTTAACCAGAACTGTTCACAAACTTCCTCCCATCATTAGGCAAACAAAAAAAAACAGTTATACAAATTTTGAAAATAATTCATTCTTTTTGCACAAACTCCTAAAGTTATTGTGATATATTTTTATGGGCTCTTAGGTGGATTCTATTTGATTCTATGATAAATTTGTTGGGAAAGGCAAGTGACAAGTCCTTCAGTCAAAAAAAGACCCTGTGTTTTGAACATATACAAGTAAACACAAATAAATACATATACACTCCACAGTATTTTATTTCTGTGGAGCAGTTTCTCTGCAGAATGTATTGTCCCCTAGATAACAGGTTTGCAATATACTCCACTCATGTAATTAGGCAGTATTTTCATGAAACTTTTACAAACTCACTGAAAGTATTCATAGATTTACCAAGGTTGGTACCATCCTTTGTGTGTACTTCTACGTAACTATGTTGCTTTTTTTCCCATGGATAAGTTTAGATTAACAAGGTATAAAAAAAAGGCAAAAAAAAAAAAATTGAGAGACGTGTGAGCTGTTGCCTTATTGGTGTGCCCAAAAGCAGCTTCCTGTTGCTTTATCTGGTGAAGCAGTTTTTCTCCTCAGAAGCAGACACGGGTTACACTACTGATGGCATCACGGTGAAACTGCTACATGGGGACACATGGCTGCCTAGGTAAGTGTTCAAATCCAAGAAGTCAGATACACAACTTATATTCTGGTACAAATTTCAACCTGGCTCTCCTTTAATGTGATGCTGACATCATACAACAAAAAGAAGGGACACAAAAGGGGCTGGAAAAGATTGCTTTGGGAGAAGGAGCATTTTACTCCCAGCACAAGTGAAACGTGAGACAAAAGGGCAAATGACATCAAAAGATTGAATTAGGAAAGACATGCCATCTTGATTTATTGTTGTAATGGTATTGCCATGATCAAAATACCTGTTGGTTAGAAGAGGGGGGAAGGATGGAGAAGAACAGTATTTGAGGGTGAATTTTCAGGATGCTGAGCTGTCCTGTCTTCACTGCAAAAAATGCCTCAGTCCTCACAGGGGTTCCATTAGTTCTTCTATTATTGTTCTTTAATATTTTATGGCACTAACAAGGTACTCAGCACTATTTATATGAATAAACACAATGCTTAAAACTTAGAAAAATAAGCTGTGCTAAAAATAGCTTCTTGGAATACCAAATATCATGTATATGAAAATATTTTGTACAGCATCTTTCTGTATGCATAGAGGAAAACATGATGCACATAAAGATATAGCAAAATAATACTCACCTGCATGGTCTACATCCTAAAAAAACATAGCTTTTTTTTCTATTTGCTCATGTTAGCAGAATTTTTACGTTCTATAAAACAGTCCGTAGAGTGTATCTCAAAGTTAAAAAGACAGCTCTTTTAGACCTGGGAGTCTCTACAGAATCTAATGGAGACCTGTGAGTGAAATTTAGTGTTGCATGAGGAAAAATGCTGTTCATTTTAAGCAAAAATGTCCGTGTTACTGAAAGGCATATTTCAATTCTCCTGAACTGTGAAGTTTTTCAGAATTCACTTTTGAGATCTGCTTATGAGGAAAAAAGATCCAGCTATGGAAGGTCCTTCTACTTGAGGAAATCAGCTTGGCACTGTAACTTTTTTTGAGAACACAGAGCAATCTACTTTGCTGAAATTGCTTTGAGAGAAAAAAAAAATCAAGAAAACTGCCTGTCCTTCCATCTTATGGCTGATCTACAATAGCACCAGTACAGCAGCTACTGCACTAACTCACACAACATTGTTTTCTTCCCCTGGAACTTATCTAAAAAGCAAAGTACTTGCAAAAACTTACCACATTATAATGAATATTGCTTACAGCAACTTGCCCTATTATGAACATGAATCTGAAATAAAGGGTGAAATGTATCAGTTGCAGATGTTTCTAAAACTGGTGTATATTAGCTAATGGAAGATTATTTTTTTTAATTATTGACTAAACTTTTCTGTTAATAACACCAAATCCTTACAGTCTTCTTCATATTTCCTAATTTCCCAAACTATAGTAGAATTCATTCATCTGAAAAATAAAAAAAAGAATCTTCCATTCTTCCCTTA